CATCTTATCGAGAAATTCAACGGAAGACCTACTCGTTGCTCGCAACGAGATCTCATCTAGTTCTTATTATTCTTTTTTTTCCCTTTTCCTAGACGCCAACTTTGAGGCCTCATATTTCGCTCATTTCTCAATGGATTTTGCTCAAATTTTCAGAGTTAATAGACTTTACTAAACTCTATCAGAATTTTGTCTAGCATTCCAAAAAATCACTTCCGGTTTTGAGTTATTTCCCTTTAAACGAAAATTTATAGGCTTTCATTTCTGGACAAAGGCTCGGAGATGGCAAAAGCTGGAGCAGAAATTTTACTGATTTTACACAAAAGAAGGATTGAAGTTATGCATAGCGGTTTTTGTTTTTCGATTTTTCTATTCAAAATGGTGCTATTTAGGGGTCAAAAATGAGAACGCCCAAAAGAGAGAAAATTTGCATATATTTTGCTTTTTATCTTCTAAACTAAAAATATTTTGTTAAAACATATAGAACAAAATTTGTGCAGAATTACAAAATCTTTTAAATGATATCTCGAAAAAAGGGCTGACCCCTACATTAAGGGATCTAAAGGGGCCAAATTTTTTTTTCCAGATATCTAAAAAAAGTATTGAGAATTTGTAATACGTCTAAGAAGCTAAGTTATTCAAAATGTCAAATTTAAACTGTTGAAGTCGTCGAAATGCGTCCGGCGACGTCACTTCCGGTCAAACCGGAAGTCGCCAGAAAATGCATATTTTTGCCGTTCTTGACAAGTTTTTGGGTAATATATGTCACTGGAAGCATAAAACTTAATTTTCCATCCGTCAACATCACTTCCGGTCAAACCGGAAGTAGCCCAAAATAGCTTATTTTTTAAGGTTTTGATGCAAAATTGAAATTTTTAAGTGACCGGAGAGGACTTAGCTCATTGCTTTCTTTTGTTGACTTTAATATCAAAACAGGACAGAAGACCTACTAGTTGCTTTGCAACGAGCTTTGCTGTAGTTTTTTATTATTATTTTTATGTGAATGAATTTATAAAATTCATAGATTTTTTTTTTTTTTACTTTTGAATAACTTGTAAACATCGTAAAGTGGGACAACGATATAAGTAAAATCTAATATTTTTGTTCGTTCGTTATACTGCCATATCGGTTTGTATTTAAACACACCCCCCCCCTCCGCCTTTCCTAATTGCTATAAATCTACAGAATTCTCAGTTGGTGCGAACAATTTTACAGTATGTTTCCTTATTTCTTCTTCGGAAGAGTAAGGTATTTTTACCTCACCCCACCGTTGATGTAAACATTTTGTACAGTAATGTTTTGATTGATTCGGAAGTTGCAGTGTGGTGATTAATTGGAATTACAACAAGTTTTTAAAATAATATTAATGTAAAACTGTTAGTTTTACAAAATTGCCATTTAAGAATAATTAGTACCTATTTCAACTACAAAGTGTGTTGTGTTGTTTTTTGTAATATTAAATCAAACGGAGCAACCTTAAGTGCGAGTCCTGCCAGGAAGATTGGCATATATTAATTTATAACCATATCATACTGCATTATTATTTTATCATGTAAAACTAATTTTTACATAATTTTCATGATCTTAATATGGTCATTGTAAGACATAGTGGTCGCCCGCCAGGTGCAGTGGTTAAAGCGTCTGCCCTAGAATCACGAAGTAAGGATTTGATCCTTACGTCGCGGGTTCGAATCCCACTGTGGGATGTGCAGACTGTTCCTTCGGATGAGACCGTATAAACAGAGGTCCCATATCGCAGTAAGTGCTGATACGAAAAAGATTCCTCCCTGCTCAATTGCTCTAAGTTCCGAGTAAAGGACAGAATTTGCAGCTCTCCACCAGCAAGTGGACGCGTCTCTACGAGATATGAGTGAAAAACAAAATCTTGAGATGGACGTTAAACAATATACAATCAACCAATCAAGTCAGACAAAATGTCCATTTATCGTAAGTTGTTTCTGATTTTTTTTAATCATGTCTATCTATTTGTTACAGTATTTATAATTTTGGATACCGAATACTCTGGCAGACTGACACCTAGTCTTTCACATCAGTACATTTACAATTTGTTTTTGTGTGTTGTTTCATCGTCGCAAACCACGGCCTAAATGTACGATCCTCTCACATTCTGGCCGTGGTTGAATGAGAAGAGAATTTCTCGTAGTTCGTTAAAATATTGAGTAATGCAAGTAAAGCGTAGTCGGAAAATGAACTTTGGTGTGAACTTTGAATACCCAATCGCAGTGTACGAAATCTTTCTTGTATACTGCTGATGTAAATTGTTGATTTCAATTGCGATGGAAACAAAACTTCTCATTGACTGAATAAGACGTCACAATAGAGAGGTGTAACTATTCAAGATTACGACACTTTTTGTGGTCAAGCAGCCACGGGTAGAAGAAAGCTATATGTGGACTCCGGACCGTGGCTTGAGACGATGGTGTTGTTTATATTTTTCGATATTTTAGTATGACAAAAGCAGCTGCATTTCATTTACGGATATTTTGTACATGTCAGCTTTTAGTGTTCATATCCGACATTTTTTTTTTGGTTTTGATTTCCGACATTTTTCAGAAGTACCCTTAGTAGCAGATTTGAAGACTTGACATATGAAGTTCTGTGTAAAGCAGAATAATGTGTTATCAACAATCTAAAAACTCGATTAGAGAACATCAAGTGCCTGGGATATGAGTTTTGTACTGTCACTGACATTAAATTTAGTGCTCATTGAATGTAATAAGAAAAGTTGTTTGCTCAGTGAACTCTTTTATACCTAGACAAAGTGCTATATATGTTTGCCTAAGGATTTTTATATATTTTTATCAATAAATACAAAGAATTCTATATTTCAATTTATCATGATTTGACGGATCGGTCACGGTAGCCTAGTGGTAGAGGGTTCGCTTCGTAATCGGGAGGCCCGGGTTCGATTTTCGTTCGCGGCGGCGCGTCATACCTAAGACGTAAACAGTTCCTTCGCCAAGTACTCGGCACTAAAAGTGCAAGTCACGGGTCTTTCGGATATGACTTTATAAACGAGGACGTAGGGCGCTGGCACGATAAAGAACTCTCACTGCTCAATAACCCTAAGTGCCGAGTAAAGGTCGAAATTTGGAGCCCTTCGCCGACAAACGGTGACGTCTCCGTATGAGTGAAAAATTCTCGAGAGGGACGTTAAACAATATACAATCAATCAATCAATTTTTACGGAAGCCCGTTGAGGCCAATTCAGAGGAAGAAATATTTTTTATTGCGTTTAATAGCAATAATTATTGCGTTTAAACAATGTTAAACGCAAAAAGTATTGCGTTTAATCGCAATAATTATTGTGTTTAAACGATTTATAGAGGCAATCGTTTGCGATAAAACGCAAAGTACATTGCCTTTAAACACAATAATTTTTGCGGTTAAACGCAAAAATTAGTGCAATAATTCGCAATAAAAAATATTTCTCTTCTGAACTGCCCTGAACGGGCTTCCATAATTTACAAAACACATTAGGAAATAAAATATATGAATGATACAAACCTATATATTTACATGTACCCGTGAAAACAATTGATGATTGAATTTTGAGGTTTGAGTACAAGTTGACTCTTGTTTTGGTATGGGTCGGTTTGGGTACGAGTTGACCCGATACCCCGGTGAAGCATGAAGCGTTTCGAGGACTTGTGTACTAAGGCTTGAAGAAAACCAGCTTCCGTGTTCTTATCGTAAGTTTTCATACGGCGGCTGGTTTAGGACATGGTATGAGATTTTTTTTTATTAATTCGTGACCATGAAATAAAATTCGTGGGAACGAAATAAAAATTCGTGGCTACGATATAAAATTCGTGGGAACGAAATAAAATTCGTAGCCACGAAATAAAATTCGTGGGAACGAAATAAAATTCTTGGCGACCAAATAAAATTCGTGGAAACGAAATAAAAGATAAAGAATCTAGTGTATTAATTGACAGATCGGGTTCGTAATTAAGACGCATATGAGTGCATAGACGCACGCGCGGATCTCCAGACAAAAACCTGAGAATATATGCTATTTACAATAGCTAAGCTTATGTCCAATGCATTTTTCAATGTATTTCAAACATTTATCGCTAGATTTTTCAAATAAATAGCGTGTAATTGTTAGGCAAAGTTTTTTTTTTAGTCAATCACTCTATGTTTATTTATTTAACAATCAGAGTAGGCCCCTATTATGTGACATCTTAAAAATGAAGCAATATCCAGATATTGTCATGATTATTTTCACATAAAACTCAACTATTTAATACAAATGAAAGTGTGTGCTCTTCAATAAAGGTACATGTAATTGTTAAGGAAAAAATGCGATGAACTAGTGAGATCAGTATTGATACTATTTATTCGTTCATCAGCTCTGCATGCAATTAACCGGCAAAAATCAAATCTCTATAATTAATAATGATTCGGGCATATTATTAAATACCCATAACTACTTTAAACAAAACTCCATTTGGCTCAGTCCAGTTGAATGATAGTAATAAGTCCGTTCATCTTATAAACTAAATAGCATACAAGAGAAGGAGCTAAATAGGACATTATATAGCACAACTTTATTTCGTGGCCACGAATTTTATTTCGTTCCCACGAATTCTATTTCGTGGTCACGAATTTTTATTTCGTGGCCACGAATTTTATTTCGTTCCCACGAATTTTATTTCGTGGCCACGAATTTTACTTTGTTCCCACAATTTTTTATTTCGTTCCCACGAATTTTATTTCGTGGTAACGAATTTTTTAATCCTTCCCACGAATTTTATTTCCTGGCTACGAATTTTTATTTCGTTCCCACGAATTTTATTTCGTGGCTACGAATCTTTATTTCGTTCCGACGAATTTTATTTCGTGGTCACGAATTAATAAAAAAAACCTCATACCATGTCCTATACCAGCCCCCGTAGTTTCAGGTGCTAGATTGGGCGTTTATTTTATGCTACCATCCGGGATATAATTTACTGTGTCAAGAAAAGTTCGACTTCAGCATGGCATCTTGGCATAGATACATTATATCCAGTATAATTTTTTCTAGTGATATTGATGATCTGCCTAATTTGATGTCATTGAATAAGTTATGGTACACGATAGGTCGTGAATGTCACGTAGTGAATATGAGTTGGTTGACAGATCTCGACTTAAGTGTAAAAAGAAATCGTAAATTTTTACTCAATGTCTCACGTAGATTTAATGCAATAGATATTTCAAAGAATTCAAAGCATTCGTGGAAACTACTGGCCAAATATACCAAAAGGTTGATTTTGAAAGAAAGGCAGGATATTAAATTGGAAGATTTTGTATACTTTTTGGAGAATTCCCACCAACTGAGAGAACTAAATGTTGAAGGATGTGACTGGGTAAATGACAGTGTCATAGACGCCCTTCCATGCCGTATTGTGTCCCTGAACATTGATCATGCTGATGGAATACCCAGGATTTCTAAGAGGTAGGCCCTACTTTTAGGCAGAAAGAAAGGAGATGGGCGAACAATGCATGAGAAATGTTTAATTTATAACCAAGAATAATTTTTCCTTCCAGGGTCAATCTAGGTCAATCGAAATAAAACATAATATCCGTTTCTGAAATTATTAAATTTGTGGCAATGACTAACAAATTAAATCTGTACAAAAATTCAGGGTTGGAAATTAAAGCCCGCCTGACCGCAAGGTGGTCTGTTTCTCAGTCGGACGGGGACAAAACCTCAGATGTCCTTTCGGTGGTTGGGCCAATTATAATAGTCAGTTCCTTAAGCAGTGTACAGGTGTACATGAATCAATCTTTGTTTATTCATCTGTATTATTTCCGTCTTATTCCTTCCTGTATTTACAATATTTTAAATATAGGCCGATTTAAAATTAAATCAGCAGTGTTTTTATTTTACTACAGTCGTTTTTAAAAACCATCTATAAAAACGATCTATACAAAGCCAGAAACATATCCTATTTTATTGCTTATTTATCACTAGCTGCAATAATGTAGCCCTCTCCAATTTTTTTTTCCAGAAAATATCAGATAAAAAAAAATCGGAGAGGGCTACATTATTGCAGCTAATTTATCACAAGTAACCACGAAAGCCCATTAGGATCATTCTAGAGAGAGACAATTTTTTTTTCGAAAAGGCGTAATAACACGAAAAAAAAGGCGTTATAACGCCTTTTGAAAAGGCGTTATTACGCCATTCCATTCAAAAAGGCGTTATAACGCCTTTCTAAAGGGCGTTATTACGCCTTTTCATTCTAAAAGGCTTTATTTCGCCTTCCAAAAGGCGTTATTACGCCTTTCTTAAATGCTTTATTACGTCTTTCTAAAAAGCGTTATTACGACTTTCTAAAAGGCGTTATTACGCCTTTCTAAGAGGCATTATTACGCCTTTCCAAAAGGCGTTATTACGTCTTTATTTTGAATACATGACTAAACATATTTAGCCCAGCCAAGCGGGTGAGGGTGCAGAAATCTTACCTTTGGGACATGAATTCTAAAATTTGATATAGGACTAATTTCTTAAAAGATTATTTAAACAAATAACAATGATTTCCAGGAAAAAAGATTTTTAAATGCGTCCTATATTTTCAATGTTGAACCAACAAAGTCCTTCTTTAATACCAGACACACCTCTACCAAGGATCATTGATTTTAATAATTGCTCATTACACTGTATATACCTATGCAAATAGTTTGCCTGCTTTTTTTCCAAGAAGAGAGAAAAATATGGATCTTCAAATGACATGAATTTTAATCCATGGCAAGCAAAGCTCCAAGATACATCTGCCTATATCTTATCTTCATAAGTAGAGTGTTGCCTTCTCTTAATACGAATGCAAACAGTTGTGTCAGTGAGATGTGCAGGAGTATAGAGAATTGCATAAATAAAGATGGTTTTAATTAAATCTTTCACATATTTATTAACATAAAATAACGCCTTTCCATTTTCCTTTTCAAGTAGGCCAGTAGTACGAGCGCGAATGGGGCACCCCCCCCTCCACACATACACACTTTGGGGGGAAAGTCTTCAGTGCTACAGTTCAGATATTATTAGTAATAATTGGTGCTTGGTTCCTGAACATTTTGTTGCAGTGTGTAAAACTGTGGCAAATTATTGCATTTAAACAAAGTTTTACCGAGAAGTCCCCCCACGAGTTTGGCCAATAGAGTAGAGTGGTGGTGGTGGTGGTGGTGGTGGGGGGGGGGGGTAGGGGTTAAAAGCACGGGCCTGTTAAATGCAAAATAATGGTTATTCAAAAAGCGTTATAACCCTTTTGAAAAGGCGTAATAACGCCTTTTCGAAAGGCGTATGAACGCCTTTTCAAAAGGCGTAATAACGCCTTTTCAAAAGGCATGATAACGCCTTTTAGAATGGAAAGGCGCAATAAAGCCTTTTCGAAAGGCGTTATAACGCCTTTTTAAACGGCGTAATAACGCCTTTTGGAATGGGAAGGCGTAATAACGACTTTTTAAAAGGCGTTCTAACGCCTTTTTTGCGTTATTACGCCTTTTTGAAAGGCGTTATAACGCCTTTTAATTTTTTTCTCTCTCTAGATTGATCCTTATAGGCTTTCGTAAGTAACAGCTCTTTAAAAAGCTTGACAATATCTGCACGGGGAGCTCCTAGCGATAAAGCTTTTGAGCAATATTTTTGTTGGTTTAAATTATTTCCTTAATTTATATTTTGAAACCTTGTGTAATTTAAATTCTTGATATTATTTAACTTGTATAGTCTACATCATCTTTACACTGTATACTTAAGGACCCTCTCTACATTGCACCCTAATTTCAGGGTACTTGCGTGTAGTTAGACTGACCCACCATTAGACATAAAAAAGAATAAATTGTAATCTGCACTGTATGACAATATTTTAAATAAATCCATGTATTCTAAACATTTGTTAGACCAAGATAGAGTAATTGAAACTTTATTTGCATGTATTTTCTCTATTTGAATAATCAATAGCAATTTTTTCTTTGTCATTACTTCATTGTCTTCAAAGATTTTTCCTGGATAAAGAAGGTGCGCTCCCTATATTAGAAATGGATTAGTTTATTTCAAAATAGCCTCCTTTACACTATTTAATTTTCTCAAAATCCAAAAAAACATTTTTCGTCAGTGTATAGAGGGTTCTTAAGATTTGTTATTTTGTTAGGGTTTTCCTCAAGAGGAGTGATCTGCCCTTGGATCTACATTGAAAGCTACATTACACCTATTATAAAATATACAAGTAATAGCTTTTCAAAAAAGCTTGCCTGACTAATGCAATCAATATCTATAGAACCTATAATCATGATAAGTTATATATATAAACGTTTACATTGGGGGAGGGGTAATTATTTCATTAGAGTTAATTATGAATACGTCGAACAAAACATCATGCATTAATTTTAAGTTGTTCGCTACTTATGAAAGCAATGGAGAGCCTCGTTTTTGAAAGTGTGTGTGTGTGATGGGGGGGGGGGCGCTAGATAATTTTTTTTCACTCATCTGCAAATAAAGAGAGGAATATGCCCTAAGTTGAAAATCCTAATTTGGGGGGGGGGGGGTAGTGACCTACTTTTTTCAGTGTCAAATTCTTTCTGTGCCATTTTTTCTAGCATTAAATACTGCATTTCCCTTAAATAAATTTCCTGTTATATACAGGGGGATCCAACCTTTCAATTAACATTTCGTATAAATAGTAAAAGAAGTAAGGTTGGGAAAAAGGAGGAGACCCCCCCCCCCCCCGTTGCTACGTGTCTGATGGAAAAGGAACAGTGAGATTTATTTAAAAGGTATATTTTGTATGTGTTAAAAATTGGTTTTGATCTGTTTTTCGTTTGTTGTATAATGACGCCTGCATGTGGAGTGTTACAAATACTTGGAACTCGGGACCAAAGAGCAGTTTCATGTAATCTTTTTCGTGCTAACACCTACTGCGACTCGGGACTTGGTTTTAAACGGTCTCATCCTAAGGACCGATCTCCACGTCCTGCAGTGGATTCGAACACGCGACGTAAAGCTCAGCTCATCATTCCGCAACTTTATAAATGGTTTTAGAAGATGTAGCAATTAAATCAGGGAAATGAACTTAGTCTAATGAATTAATGTATGCTGGAAAGCCGTGCCTATGAAAAGGTTATATATTAATTTTAAAATTAAAATTTAGAATTAGATTCAACTGCATAGACTACCAGGAAGACAGCTGAGAATATGATAACTACAAGAAATAAATGAATCGTTATGATTAACATGTAGAATATGTTTAAGTACTAGATTGTTGGGTATGCCAGAGCATCAAAGATTGTTGGAAACAGCCTGTTATGCATAAATGACCCAACGAACTTGACGGTGATTCCTTATATTCCTTAATCCTGGAATAGGAGTGACACTTTTCCTAGGTCTATTTTCTGTGTTTCATTGGAGAAAGAATTTTATCTCTGAAAACTGCGGGGGGGGGGGGGGGGGGGGGGCTGCGAGTCCGGGCGAGATATGATCAGAAATATTATGCATATTTGGCCAGTTTTCCTCTTAAGAACTCTTTTCCCGTTTCGTTAAGTACGTTTTATTTACTTTAAATTATGATGTAACTTCTAACTTTTTTCACAATATCACCGATATGTTTTTTCCCCAAAGTTCGAAATTCCGATAAAAAGAACAGACTTGAAGTTTTATTTCCATTCAGTGCAGTGGAATCATCCAGGAAAAGGGCGCGAAGATATACACGTGACGTTTGGCGCAAAATGATTGTGACACCCCTTACCTAGAGGAAAAATGGACTCATCCAATAGTACAGAAACGCAGAAAAAAGGTCAAACGGACATGTCCGTATATGAAATCGCATGAAATAATCAGCTGCATGCAAAAAAACTAAAGGAAATAAACACATCAATATATTGTATCAGTAAGATGGTTATTTTTTTCTGCTAAATGTTTTGTTGAAACGGAGGTAACAAATTCCAGTGATAATCAGCATGCACAAAATTTTGCTGGCTAACTGTGACCTCTTCCCTTCGCACCTAGGAAATATCAATCCTTATACAGCCTGACGCCGTGACGTCAGGCAATGACGAAATCATGCATTGTAAACATTTTAAAAGATGGATATAATTTTAAATATTTACATTTTGTCGGAGTTTGTTTCTTCCTCTGAAGTAAACAGTAACTGTAGTAATGTGTGTTCATAAATAAATGTCGTTTTTTCTTAAAAGGGGGGAGGGTATTGAGAATGAAATAAGTAAATTCAATATTTAAACCCTTGTGGAAAGAAAAAAAACAACAAAATTTTGCACTGGTTTCTTATTTCTTGTGAGCATCTGAATCGGGGATACAAAATTAATGTTCATGCATATGGATACCATAACTGTGAAATTCAGGTAAGAAAAAAATTAAAAAGTACTAACTAAAAGCGAAATGGGAATTTTAGTATTTGCAAATATTATCACTGGGCTGATATAACAATTTAATTGATAACAACTTTTAGATCGAATTTAACAGTTAACTGGAATTTATAACATCAGAGAATGAAATAATACATGTAATACCAAGTATTTAAAGAAAAAAATACATTATGCTAAAATTAATATATTTAATCGATTTTTATCACCTTAATTCACCAGAAAGCTTTCCAGAGCTTTCTAAGGCAAAATGGGAATGGTAAATTTCACAGTTAAGGCGAGATGGGAACAAACCCTTGTTGAATTACGTTGTTTATTATAAGTGGACTAATCCATTTCTAGAATAAACAAACCGTTAAATCGGGAAACAAATTATAATTAGAAAAAAAATTCTTTATTGTTGCATGTCTATATACTTAAACATGCGATGTAATTGTTTTTAAAAGAACTCGAAATACTTTGAGCAATGAGCTCACTAAATGATAAACCACCCCCCCCCCCCCGCCTCCCATATGCATATGGTTATTATGGCAAAGTCCATGTTTTGCTGTGGACGGGAAACCAAAAAAATGTGTCGGATCAAAAAGTAAAATAGGAGGTGCACTATGGCAATATGTAATAAAGATTCTGTGAAAGCTTCAATAAATTTCACAATTTTTAATCTTTTTAAGTTCAGCGAGCCTTCATAATCTTTTTCAGCCATAATTAAATCAAAAAGTACTTCAGTTTTCCCCTCCTCAGGATTTTAAAATTTTGAAATCCGTAAACCAATTTTTAAAAAAATTGCCCTAATGACATTTGTGAATATTATGAAAAAAGATATATGTTTGCAATTTTATGACATTTTTAGTGGGTTTAAACTATATATTTACTCAGCTTGATAACTGCTTGTCTTTTTGAAACATCAAAATATTTTTTGTGTGAACCCTGAGAAAGCAACGGTTTTCCATGTGGGGGAGGGGGATGCTCCGAAAAGAAAAATCCACGTACTACAGAGCTTTTCTACACGTGTACCATCAGATTTTATTTTCTAATGATAGCTAGATTTCTTCCGAATAAATCTAGAATACTAGACAGTACATATAAGTCCCAAAGTTATGGGATAGGTATCAGAATAGCCTGAATTTAAAAACAAGAGGCCCATGGGCCACGTCGCTCACCTGAGCACTGTGGCTAGGAAAAAGTAAAAAATTGTTTTATTATTGAAGAGTTTAAATCCAAAGTAGTCCCATGACCAATCATGGATTTGCTATTCTTGAGAAGATGATTTTTAAAGAATTTTCCTATATATTTCTATGTAAAACCTTGGTCGGCCATTGTGGCCTCGCCCTACCCCCCGGGGGTCATGATTTGAACAAATTTGAATCTACACTACCTGAGGATGCTTCCATATAAATATGGTGAATTATGACTTTGTCATTCTTGAGAAGAAGATTTTTAAAGAATTTTCCTATATATTTCTATGTAAAACTTTGGTCGGCCATTTTGGCCCCGCCCTACCCCCAGGAGTCATGATTTGAACAAACTTGAATCTACACTACCTGAGGATGCTTCCATATAAATTTGATAATTTATGGCTTTGCTATTCTTGAGAGCAAGATATTTAAAGAATTTTTCCTACATATTTCTATGTAAAACTTTGGTCGACCATTTTGACCCCAACCTACCTCTGGGGGTCATGATTTGAACAAATTTAAATCTACACTACCTGAGGATATTTTCTTATAAGTTTCATCTTTCCTGGCACAGTGGTTCTTGAGAAAAAGATTTTTAAAACATGCCACCAAATTTTCATTCATTCCCAATTATCTCCCCTTGAATGAGGGCGTGGCCCTTCATTTGAACAAACTTTGAATCCCCTTTACCCAAGAATGCTTTGCGGCAAGTTTGGTTGGAATTGGCCCAGCGGTTCTTGAGAAGAAGTCGAAAATATAAAAAGTTTACAGACAGACAGACAGACAGACGGACGCCGGACAAAATGTGATCAGAAAAGCTCACTTGAGGCTACGGCTCAGGTGAGCTAATTAAAAAAACTATATGCCAATCGGAGATATCAATTTTGCTATGAAAGTATTATCAGTCAAAGTAGGGAGATCATTGTAGGAAATGTGAACAAACCAACGTGAATATCTAATTAAATAAGCTTAGTAATTTTCCTTAATAAATTGACTTTCGCTTGGAAACACATGCACATATAGTACACGTATTGTAGTCCCATTTTAAAGGACAGCAACTTGTTTATAATATAAATGTTATTTATTTCAGTGCTGTGGAAACCTTGCTTGAGCGTCATTATATGAACCTGGAGGAGCTGGTGCTTGATGCATCTTTGCTCAGAGATGAAAACTTGGAGGACATAGCTAAATGCTCCAAACTAAAGAAACTCTGTGTGTCCTCCTGTGAGAATTTAACTAACACATTTCTCGGATACATAAAGGTAACACAAATTTCCAGTTACTAGCAGGAACCAATCTATTCCCCAGATTTAGGGAAACTTTCTTTTTCCCTCAGAAAAAGTTAGGAAGACGTTTCAAATTCTAGGAGACTTCTTAGCATGAGCACAACACACACCGACCATTATTAAAACTTTTCCAAAAAATGAAATAAGACCGCGGAACATTAACTGGCAAAATTGGAAATATACAGCTTACGTCATTGCAGCTCGGAGGACCGGGATGCTCTATACATATAAGTTTTTAAGTGTTGGTGTATGGATATTGGGGTTTGAGTAGTTATGTAGAATTAAAGGTTTTCTAAACATTGTAAAGATTGTTAATCAGAATGTTCTTTCCGTTTATAAATTACGAGAAACATAATATATTTGCTTCCATAAAGTGAATCTGTAAAAATATATATGTTTTTCATATTAAATATATAAAGTTACTTATCATTTACTATCGAAAAAACGACAGGTCCCTTTTTTTAGAAGATCGGATTTTACTTCTCGGATAAAAACGTACTTTTCACAGTTCGTGTTTTATATTCTAAAATTGATATTAAGATGGATATAAAAAACTACTGACAAAACAAAGTAAATTCACAGGTCTCCAGGTCTGGCTAATAACTGAGTTATTCTGTATATACAAACTGGTATTCGCTCTTATTTATTTTCAAGTCTTATCAAAGAAGCTCACTTGGGCCTTTGGTTCAAATGAGTTAACTATATTTGTCTATAATTTAATTTTGTTAATATTCTCGCCTCTCATTGGTTGATTTCCAATAAGGAACGCAAAATATTTTGTATAATCTGGTTTGGTATGGGGACACACCCCCTTGACAACCAGCTTAATCATCTTATTCATGCAACCCCCTCATTTTCAGTCCTCGGAATCCATGGAAAATTCAAGATTTGATAACTGTATCTTTAACTTCAAACACTAACTCGATCTTACCTCATGTAAACACAAATCATGGCTGCTAAATTTCTGTATAATTTTTTACCCCCCCCCCCCCCCCGCTTCACATCACATTTGGTCAAGAATTAGTGTCATTCCTTAAATAGAAAATATATCCTTACACAAGTCTACGAATAATATCATGCTTTTTTATCCTAGTCTCTACAAAACCTGACTTGTTTAAGATTGAAGGGAGGTAATGACTTCACCAAAGAAGGCCTAGTTTCACTATTTGAGTGTGAATCCTATTTGCATCTGATAGAGTGTAGATGCTTGCAGCAGCTGGTGGAGTTGGACCTCTCAGATAGCACTGACTTTGATGATGACTGTGTCGACCAGATGATCAGATGGTGAGATTAATGTCAAGCTCAATTACTTGATAGGTATATCAGACATGTTTAAACTGTTAACTGTAATCAGCTGTAATAATTGATTACTTTCCCCAAGTAATTTGAGATTATATGATCATGAAAAAACTTACTATAGTATTACGCCTACTTGAATAGTTTAATCAATTACAGATAAGAACCATAAACATTTTTTAATTCTTTTTGACTATTTTTAGCTCATCTGAGCTTAAAGCTCCAGTGCCAACTTTTAGAATTGATCAAATTGTCCAAAACGTTTAACAGTTATTAGGCAGGCCAAACCCCTTTCCAGGATACACACCTGCTACTGGGAATATATAGCACAAAATTATATAAAAGCATCGTTTGTACATGAACTATGTGTACACTTGTACACTACCTCACATTGAACTTGTGTCACCATTTGAGTACATGTACTAGTTAGCTCTTCTGAGCAAAAGGGTGAAAAAGCCAATGCTATGCACAGGTACTTGTAGACAGGAACACCCCAATCTACACTATCTATTATTTACAATCTACAGGTGAAAAGATTTTTTTGTTATCATAAATTCTTCTTCTAGTACATATGGTCCCTCTACAAGGGTAGATAATCAAGAGAAGACAAAAATAGGGTGGGGTCATTAAAAAAATCTTCTTTTAAAGACTCACTGGGTCAGAAAAGCTGAAACTTTTGTGGAATCATCCTGGGGTAGTTTAGATTGTAAATTGTTCAAATCATGACCCACTGGGTTGTGGCTGGGCGGGACCACAATAGGGAATCAAAGTTTTTCACTGAAATTCAGAGGAAAAGTCTTTTAAAATCTTCTTCTCAAAAACCACTGGGCCAGAAAAGCTCTAAATGTAGAAGTATGCTGGGGTAGTGTAGATTCTAAATTGTTTTAATCATGACACTTGGGGGTAGGGCGGAGTCAAAATAGGGAATCTAAGTTTTACATTTAAGTACTAAGTATATATAGGAAAAGTTTTGAAATATTTTGTTCTCAAGAACCATTAGGCCGGAAAAGCTGAAACTTATGTGGAAGCATCCTGGGGTACTGTAGATATTAAATTGTTAAAATCATAACCTTCAGAGGTCAGACATAAGAAAACCATATTTTACATTGAAATATACAGTATATGAAAAATCTGTAAAAATCTTCTTCTCAAGTACCACTGGGTCAGAAAAAGGCTAAAACTTATGAAGAAAAAATCCTGGGATACTGTAAATTCTAAATTGTTAAAATCATGACTTCCAGAGGTTGGACGGGGACCAAAATAGAAAGACCAAGTTTTACATTGAAATATATTGGAAGAAACTTTTAAAAATCTTCTCAAGAACCACTGAACGTATGTGGAAGCATCTTGGGGTAGTGTGGGTTTTATATTCTTCAAATAATGACTCCTGGCAGTAGGATAGTTTCACGATGGGTGTTATTCTTGTACAAAGGGGAAATCTGGTAAATAATAGCATGGCCAAAGACACTCAGGTGAGCGATGTTGCTCATGGACCTCTTTTATAAACAATAGCCTAAAAGCTAGCTCGAGCATTACATTGTAAGTTCTGATTGAAAAAAAATTAATCGATGTGTAAACTTTTGAATTTTTTCTCGTCCAATCAAAAAACGGAATCCATTAAAAAAAATATAACAGTATATGATGATATTTTATCCCTAGCTGTGGTGCAACTATAGAGATTTTGCGAGTATCTTCCTCTGTGGCCATAACAGACGTAGGCTATGAATCCATCGAAAATAAATGCTGCAAGTATGTGTGCTTTACATAATCATATATTGTCTGTCATAAATTTCTAATTACATGTTAAACAGCATAGTTATGCATAAATTATATTCAATGAAACACACATATATACTTACTACATGGAATCAACCTTTTCTAGGGAATCAATGTTTTTGAGTAACAAAAATTTGACTGGTAACTTGCATACATGTGTATTTCATTTAAATAAATGAATTCATAAAAGTGTTTGTGTTCAATGTTTGTTGGGTTGTTAATTTGTGGATAAGGGCTACACAAGAAAACAATCGATATTGATGATTCCAAATGTGCAGTTCTATGTTTTGGCAGCACATCAAAGTGCTCCTGTAATCGAAGATTTCGGGGTATATAGTGTTTGCCATGTCTGTCCGTCTGTCTGTTTGACACCAAAAACTTTATCCTTTCCCATAACTTTTGATTGCTTGGAGCTATGGCTCTCAAACTTCATATTCGTATTTCTTGACAAGACATTCCTTTCAAGTTTGCCCGGTTTTAACATATTTGGCTTCTTGACCTTGGAGTTTGACCCACTTTTCACAGCAAAAATGTACCATATTTGAACCTTGGCTAAAAAATTTGAACAGTTGATGCAAGAGTTTGCATATGTGCTTTAATTATGACAAAATATTTCCCTAGCTGTAAATATTTTTGACTTTGACCTTAGAGTTTTACCCCGTTTTTTAAATACTTTTGTACAATAAATAGAGTTATCGTCCTTTGAAAGTGTCTACTTTTTTTAATTGCTCTGGGTAAAATATTTCTATAAAACAAATTGTACACACGGGGGTAATTCAAACAATTTATTAGTTAGTACACATGTAATTCTTTAATTGTTTAATACACTAGATGTGTAAAGATCGAAAGGTTGTAAACATATAATGCCTTTAGCTATCTCCAAAAATATATTTTGAGAACAGTGATGAGCATCCTTTTTGTAAGCGAGGGGCTGTCAGAGAATTTTTTTGACACACCTGAAAAAGTTGACAAAAAAAAAAGAGAAAAATTACCCAAATTCGAAATATTTATTTCAGGGGTGGGTGGGTTGACAACTTGGAGTTCCAACTTCTTTCAGTAACAAATTTTATTCAATACTACATTACCCTAACTTGACTTTAATTGTAGCAAAAAGCAGCGAGGTCCAACTGGCCTTTCTATGAACATTTCAAAATAAGAAGTTTCTCCTGGAAAAAAAGTGTAACTTACTCGATAACTTCATTTTTGTGCATAGATTTTCATGGTTTTTTTCCTCATATTTATTTCATCGTAATCTTTAAGATGTAAAGGATATGGGAAACATTTCCATTAATCTTAATTTTTGCCAAAAGCTTTCATACGTGAGCATCAATGTTTCACATACACATCTTGTTTGAATTAGTTCTTCTGTATGTATTTATAGCTTTTCTCTTTAATCTTTTTCTGCTATTTCATATATAGCATATATCCTAATAGGTACGTATTATTTCAGTGTTGCCTTATGTAGTGTATTATTCAAATAAATAAAACTTCTATTTAAAAAAATTAATCATGTATATTGTATTGGGTAACACCTAGTGTATACAGAGTAAGTCTGGAAAAGATGTTGAATTATACATGTAGATCTATGTATCACGTATATCTAAAATATCTTTTTTTTTCTTAACAGGAAGGTGGTCATCACCCAACACAAGCGGATTAAATGTAAGGGATGATTAGTAATTGCTCTTAAATATTTTATTGCAGACATGACTTGTATTGAAAAATAATTCTATCAAAGACAAAAAAGTCCTAGGATTCTTCAACCCAAAAATTGCAGGGAGCAAGATCAACATCCAGTTCCACTAGAACACACTTTATCATAAAGCCAAAAACATTCCACTGAATCATAGTATCAGGAACCTATATACTGCTTCTAATATACTGCTCCTGATAGTATTGACCCACTCGAGAAATAAAGCTCTTGCAAACCATGCAGAAATTGCTCCCAGCACTATTCTTTTAAAGGACTGCATACCATTCACATATCAACAAACATATCATGACAACATATTCACCATGTATAATGAATAAACTTTAACAATTTAGCAGATTGATATAACTAAATTATGCAAATGAGCTCGAGGCATGTAAATCACACAGATATTTAAGTGCAGATATTTCCACTATTTTGAAGTTTTTAAAGCATACAATATTGAACTAAGAATTTAATCAAAATTAAAGATGTTTTCAAAATGTTTATTAAATATTTTCAAAAACTCTTCTTAATGATTTTCATTGTTTTTAGGTTGAAAACTGGATCAAAAACAACGGATTCCGTCAATCATATCAAGTGCATTCCAATTCACATTTTTCTATGTAACTATCTAACCTTACTCTCACCTTAGACCTTTGAAGATTTTTTATTATGTTTGTGATAAATTCTAAACCAAAAACTGTACAGGAGTCTTTTAAAAACTGATAATTAAGTAAAAGCATTGTACATTGCTCGTCAACAAACTGTACAAAACATTGGTCAAGATTAATTTGCTCTCAAGAGTTCATATCACTAAACAAATATAATCACTGTGCATGATACACTGTATTACTTAGGATGGCTGAATTCAATTGTATTCATGGCTGAATTTTGTACATGTCACCTTAATTTTGGTTTTCTAATCAGAGGTTACTTGGTGATCTCCAATCTCTTCATATGTTCATTGATACTCTTTTAAGAGACTGTGATAACTCTTAATGACAGAAATGTCTACTAGGTATCATTAATTCATAGATTTGTCAAGTTAGTGTCTTTCTTGTCCAGATTTGCCCTGCAAGCTGTGCTATAATTGTTTGTACATGCATTTTACTTATTCAATTTTTTTTGGATAAATCATCAAGGTTCAACCAACATTGTATATGAATGAGCAGAGGGCTTATGAACCTTAACATGGTTTATATAAGGACAGATCACACAAGCAAAATAATGGATGCCTATTTTGGTATACAATTTTGGACTTGTTTTTGGTTGTTTTATGGTTAGAATAATGAATTTCTAAAATATTAATGAAAAATTAAAAAAACATCTCCAGGGTTAAACTTATTCATTTTACTTAAATTTAACTGAAGTTTTTATCTTCAAGATTTTTCATTAAATTTTGTGTGTATTAAATCTGTCCTTAGCACTCAATATTGACATATACATGTTTTGTACCGGTGATATTTTTCACTGTCTGATTCATATTATTTGCCAAACAATTCCAATCATGTTTGTCTGGGATTTCTCTCTATACATGATGTATATAACTTTAATAAATGACCATATTCATCAAAGCTGTTGTGGTTGATTTTAAAAAGGTCTAATTATATAAGGTGGAACTGAAATAAATAATTATGTGTTGGAATCGATATGTTAAACAAAAGATAAATCAAGGTTATAAATGTAATAATTTTTTTTCTAAACTTATTTGTTGATTGTAGAATATAAGCAAATCATGACCCTTGGGGGTAGGGCGGGGCCACAATGGCCGACCAAAGTTTTACATAGAAATATATAGAAAAATTCTTTAAAAATCTTCTCCTCAAGAATAACAAAGTTATAATTAATCATATTTATATGGAAGCATCCTCAGGTAGTGTAGATTCAAGTTTGTTCAAATCATGACCCCCAGGGGTAGGACGGGGCCACAATGGCCGACCAAAGTTTTACATAGACATCTATAAGAATATTCTTTAAAAATTCTCTTCTCAAGAATAACAAAGCCATAATTAATCATATTTATATGGAAGCATCCTCAGGTAGTGTAGATTCAAGTTTGTTCAAATCATGACCCCGGGGATAGGGCGGGACCACAATGGACGACCAAAGTTTTACATAGACATATATAGGAAAATTCTTTAAAAATCATCTTCTCAAGAATAGCAAAGCCATGATTGGTCATGGGACTACTTTTGGATTTAAACTTTTCAATAATAAACCAATTTCTACCTTTCCTAGCCATTGTGCTCAGGTGAGCGATGTGGCTCATGGGCCTCTTGTTTGACTTAACATGCATGAATGATACATTTAAGGATACACATTGCTAGACTATGAGTTTTATTTCAACTAAACTTGCATGAATGATACATCTAAGCAAGCACAATTCTGGACTTGGAGTAGATACTGAATCTGATTTACATCATCCGAATGACTGACCAGGTTTAATTGTTTGAAGCAGCATCATTCTGAAATAACCAAAGTGACCAAACTTGCATTAACTATATGTCTCACAATTTGCACTACTGCACTTGTTCCGAATGCTGGATCTGACCAATATATTTCAGACCAGGGACCAAGTTAAAGTTTTTAGCTAATCTGAGCTGAAAACTCAATTGAGTTTTTCTGATTTGTCCTTCTGTATTTACTTTGAAAATTTTTAAATTCTTCTCAAGAACCACTTGGCAAATTTTAACCAAACCTCAAACAAAGCATCCTTTGGAGAAAGGGATTTTGATTATTTAAAGAAAGGTCATGTCCCCTCACAAAAATGGGTGAAGTCATGGAAAAAAGGGAATCCAAGTTTTACATTGAAATATAAAGAAAAAATCCATAAAAATCTTCTTTTCAGGAACCACTGGTTAAGGAAATCTGAAACTTACATGGAATCAACCTTAGTTAGTGTAGATTCTAAATTGTTCAAATTCCAAGGGTTAGGGTGGGCGCACAATAGGGAATGCAGATTGCACTTTACAATACATAGGAAAAATCTTCTCAAGATCAAGAATCACTGCAACAGAAAAGTTGAAACACTGGTGGTGTAGTGTAATGACAACATTTTACAATGATATTTATAGGAAATATCTTTAAAAGTCTTCTCAAGAACAGCCTGTGTAAAAGTAAAAACTCAGGTAAGCATTGTGACTCATGGCCATGGGCAATTTTAAGAGCGTGACTAGTTTGGATGTTTCTAGATAAGTTCATTCCTTATAATTAGTAACTACATGCCCTATTGCATTGAGCAAAATTGCATAATCATTAAACTTTGCGTCTTAGGATGTACAATAGTCTACTAGATTTTAACTTTTCATAATCAAAGGCTCAGATAGCTAATTAAATGCTCATGCTAAGGCCATTTGTTAACTGTGTGGTATGCATCAATTTTTTGGAGTATGGGTCCTAATCAAGAACACTTTGACCAATTTTTAGCTCACCTGAGCAGAAGGCTCAAGTGAGCTTTTCTGATCAAAATTTGTTCGTTGTCTGTCGTCGTTGTCGTTCTGAACTTTTCTCATTTTCATTTTCTTCTCAAGAACCACTGGACCAATTTCAACCAAACTTGGTACAAAGTATCCTTGGGTAAAGGAAATTCAAGTTTTTTTCAAATGAAGGGCCACACCCTCTTCCAAGGGGAGATAATTATGAATTAGTGAAAAAATTATGGCATTTTTAAACCATCTTCTTCTCAAGATTAATTGGGCGAGGAAAGATAAAACTCATGTTGAAGCATCGTCAGGTAGGGTAGATCAATTTTGTTCAAAAATTGACCCCCATAGGTATGGCGCGGCTACAATAGCCTATCAAACTTTATGTAGGGATATATTGGAAAAATCTTTAAAAATCTTCTTCTCCAGAACCACTGAGGCAGGTAAGATGAAAATCATGTGGAAGCATCCTCAGATAGCGTGGATTCAAGTTTGTTCGAATCATGACCCTTGGGGGTAGGGCAGGGCCTCAACTGACGATCAAAGATTTACATAGAATTATACAGAAAGAAATCTTTCAAAATCTTCTCAGAAACCACTGAGCCAAGAAATATTAAACTTATGTGGAGACATCCGCATGCAGGCAGTGTAGATTCAATTTTCTTCCAATCATGACCCTCGGGAGTAGAGCCACCATTGACGATCAAAGATCTACATAGGAATATATAGGAAAAAGATCTTTCAAAAACTTCTTTCAAGAACCACTGGGCCAGTAAAGATGAAACTTATATGGAGGCATTCTCAGGTACTATAGATTCCATTTTGTTCAAATCATGACCCCCGGGTGTAAGGTGGGGCCACAAATGACAATCAAAATTTACATAGGAAAGTATAGGAAAACTCTTTGAAAGTCTTCTTAAGAACCACTTGGCCAGGAAAGATGAAACTTGTGTGAAAACATCCCCAGGAAGTGTACTGGTAGATTCAAGTTTGTTCAAATCATGACCCCTTGGGTAGGGCGGGGCCACAATGGACGATTAAAGTTTTACGTAGGAATGAATACATCGGATTTTTTTTTATAAATCTCTTCTTTTTAAAACTAAAAAGCCATGATTGGTCATATCTTTATCTAAGCATCCTCACGTAGTGCTGACTTAAGTTTTTTCAAGTCATGAACGGGAAGTAGGTCTTGGGTAGGGTGGGTCACAATTGGGGATCAAAGTTTTGCCTAAAAAAAATGAATGAAATATTTTTCCCCCAAGAGGAGAAAAGCCATGTTAATCATATTGATATGGAGGCATCCTCAGGTAGTACAAGTGATACTGGTTCAAATGAGCGGTAGGGCTGGACCACAAATAGGAAAAAAATCATCTGCTCAAAAACAGCAAAGGTATTTATTGTATGGAAGCATCATCAGGTAGTTAGTAGTTTAACACTCCCCCTCCCCAATGTAAACTTCCCAATACTCAAGTGATTTCTACTTTTATTTCCTAGCCAATGCAATCTAATTAAAATTAGATGTTAGATCCGCTCGCATACTTGCTACACTAACATCTAACAACACCCCATTGAGGGTCACATCAGTGGTTAAATTCTATCAACCAATCAAACCGTCGCTGGCTAAATCATCGTATATTGTTGAAGCGAATAAGTCTAGAGCCGTTCCGAATTTGAAATCTGACGTGACCCTCAATTGGATGTTGTTAGATGTTAGTGTAGCGAGTATGCTACTAATTTTAATCAGATTGTAGCCAATGTGCTCAGGTTAGCGATGAGGCCCATGGGCCTCTTGTTTATTATTCCTACTTATATTTAAGGGTGGAGATTTCCGGTCATTTGTATAAATGTCGAAATTCTCATATTAGGTTTGAACTATGAATGATTAACTTACGGATATTTAAACATACATGTACTGATTGTAGTTATTTTACGGAAGAAATGCACGCAATAAATTGAATATTTGTATTTATAAATAATGTCTAGAGCTTAAATCATCCGCATTGTATCCAAAAATCGCAATTAAATATCAAAATCTTAATGCCTTAGGGTTTTGGGGTTAGGGTGGTGCTATATTGATTATATAGTGAAAATACATTCATTCTTTAAAAATCTTCTTCTCTGCTCTTGGGTATTAAGTAAACTAAATACGTGGATAGTTATTGTTGAATAAGATTTCCTCTTCCAAAATTGTGTCGTCGCTCGGGTGGCGCAGTGGTTAGAGCGTTTGCTTTAGAGTCGTGAAGTAAGGAGTCAATCCTTAGGTCGCGGGTTCGAATCCCACAGTTGGACGTGGAGATCGGTCCTTTGGATGAAACCGTATGAACCGCGAGGTCCCGTGTCGCATGCGCAGTAGGTGCTGGCACGAAAAAGATCCCTCCTGCTTAATGGTCCTTGCCGAGTATGGGACAAAAACTGTAGCTCTCCACCTGCAAGTGGTGGCATCTCTATATGAGTGAAAAATTCTCTAAAGAGACATTAAACAGTATGCAATCAATCAATTTTAAATAACGAATTTCATGGCCTAAGGGCCTCTTGTTAGAGTTAAACTGTTTCTTCACAGAATATCCTAATGCGATGCAAAGCAAAATATCAAGCTATAATTTGGAATACGAATCGATGTATCAATTCTTAATTTGAATATCTAAGTTGGGTATTTTTTGTTTTGCTCCATTTTAGAGAGAATATGACTACAGACATTATTAAGTGTATTGTTTGTAACTTAATAAATTTTGACCTGCTCTGCGACCCGATGTTTGCATTTTATTAAATCTGAATAATTTTAAGTTTTAATAAATCGTAATATTTGAACAAAATTAATTCAAAATCATTTGAATTTAATAGTAAAAAATTCTTATACCAAATATGGATAACATATGACATGTATGATGTCAAATAAAAAAAAATATGACAGAAGTCTACGAAATTTCTAAACAACGTATAATAAAATATGAATTTATAACACATTTGACTGACACACCTATGCACATTCACAAAGTAAAATTTATCCTTAA